TTTTTTAGCCACTTGCTACCATTATCTGCTTTCACCATCTACCCTCCACTGCTCCTCTAGATGGTAATTTCTTCTGCACAATGAGTCTCCATTTCCACACCTCATTGGATTCAGTTCTTGGCTCTCTTATCTGACCATCTCCAAGTAACCATATTAAGATTAAGATTAGAGGCTTGGCAAGGTGATTCAGAGGTTAAGGACATATACTGTTCTCAAAGAGGCTAGTATAAACATCATAACTGCCTATAACTCTGACTCCAGAGGAATCTGAAGTCTCTGGCCTAGCAGGGTACCTTCAATCACATGTGCACATATGCACATACATACATACATACATACATACTTAAAAGTAAAAAATATCTTAAAAAGGGAAAACTTGCTGGGCAGTGGTGGCACATGCCTGTAATCCCACAGATTACAGAGGCAGAGGTAAGTGGCTCTCTGTGAGTTCCAGGCCAGCAGGGTCTACAGAATGAGTTCCAGGACAGACTCCAAAGCTATCAAGGAAGCCTGTCTCAAATAAAATAATAAATAAATAAATAAATAAATAAATGAAAACTTAATTGCTCCCCCTGAATGAATTGCCCTATATGATGATATTTGATCATGTGGTCTTGACAAAATTATCATTACCATTATTGAGACAGAGTCTTATGTAGCCTAGGCTGGCTGTCAACTTGCTATGTAGCCAAGGATATTCTTAAACTCCTGATCCTTCTTCATCCACCTCAGAGTGCTGGGACTGCATGCCTGCAACACATGTCTGGCTTGACAAAATTATTAATAGTGGTTCCTGGTGATCTCAAAGTGTCCTATTTGATGTGGGATGTCAGTCTGCACACTGTGAATATGTGTTGCTTTTATTGGTTGATAAACAAAGCTGCTTTGGCTATGGCAGGGCAGAATATGGCAAGGAAATCCAAGCAGAGATACAGGGCGAAAGAAGGCAGAGTCAGGAGAAGATGCCAGCAGCCTCTGAGGAAGCAAGACATGTAGAAAATGAAGTAACATCACAGCCATGTGGCAATACATAGATTAATAGAAATGGGTTAATATAAATGTAAGAGCTGGCTAATAAAAA